TCTTTCATTTGCAGGTATGAGATTGAACCACACTAAAAAAAATAGGTGCCTGTTGAGAATTGTCATACCGGAAGACCTTTAATTAGGTTGACCCAAATGTGAAAGAACTGAACTTTAAAATGTGTGCAGAAGTGTGAATTTAAATGAGAGGGATTTTCTGGATCTTGCTCATCAAGCATCAGAGCCTGGCCCACTGTGGTCAATAGGGCACTGCCCCACCAACCTCAGTCTGCCATCAGCCAGCCCCTACCTGTGTGCCTTTTTGCAACTGGTCAAGGAGTGACTCTGCCTGCCATTGGATCTGCTTCACCTGCTTTTGGCTTTCCTGTCTTCTGCCCTACCAATCCCAACATGCAGCAGCCACCACTATTAACAAGTCACACCCAGTAAGATCCCCCACCATTCCAAGACGTCTCCTTGTGAAAAGTAATAATCCCTGCTGTTTTTTCCCCACTCAGTCACCCTGGCTTTAAAAAAATGGCACCTCTCTGCTCTGTAGACCCATGAAACCATGAGAAAGAATTCCCTTTAGAGGTCCTGTTTTCCTCCTGAGAACATTTTCAAACAGTAGCCAAGGAAACAGAAACACTGAAGGATCTTCATAACTATTCAGGATTCTGATTTCACTGAGCTGTTAGGAAAACCAGTTGTCCATTGCAAACGCACCACCTCACATAGTCTGTTGAACAGAAAAACATAGCAAAAGGTTCTGTAGTGTTTGCAAAACACTTTCTAGACAGGGCAGGTGGTGTTTTAGAAAGTTTTGCAGAGTTCAGATGAAATGAACAGACAAGCTGAAGCTGGTTTTTGCTAAAGCACTAGCACAACAAATTTAAGTGTGTAGAGGAAAGGGGAAAAGGGGGCAGGAATGTATGCAAATATCTCTCCCCCTTCCCCCATGTGCGCACCAGCTTCTTTGTCACATTTAACTTGAACTTACATTTTTATCACACACTCCAAAAATGATAGGCTTTGGTTTAATTGCTGCAAACTTGTATCAACGTACCATAATATTCTCCAGGGTGTTTTATGAAAAAATAGCGCCATCTAGGGTAACTAATGCCTTATCTTTTTATATGATATTGGATTTGGGAATCCAAATATCAGCAAGATCCACTTAGGAAATGCAACTTGTAATACCAACCATTACTAATCCAGGAAAAATTAGGCACCAGCTATACTAATTTTCCTTGACTTTAACATGATAATCAGAAATCTGTATCTAATGTTTGATACATTGTGTTTTAATCTAAAGTGTCCAAAGGAATTTCCACTTAAAAACAAATAACAAAAATAATTTTTGGTTGCTTTCTTTTGATTCTGATTCCGAACTTTTTCCCAATGTCATGAAGCTTGTGAGTTCTCTAACTGGCTTTTAATAAAGCTTGGAGAGTGAAGTAAACAGAAAGAGCATTAAACATTGCCATCTACTGGTGATATTTTCCTTCAAAATCAATGGCACAATGAACCTGATGCTGGTGTACTCAGACATAAATCCCATTAATCTCAATGAGAATCCCTGTTAAGTGTGCCTAGGCTTGCAGCCTGAATAACCCACTGCCATTAATAGAATGTATTTTCAAAGTAACATGGTAGCCTGCTGACTTTTGCAGAGAGTAAAAAAGCAGGGGAGGAAGGGGCAGAGTTGGAGAGATGCCTACCCTTGTGGACATGAAGAAGGAGCAGAGAAATGCCTAAAGTTGAACCACATCATCACCACCCAATGGATCATGTTACTGGCATCTTCTTGTTGAGCCCAGTTCCTTCTTCTCAGTTATCACTCATTGGGATACTGAACCAGTACTCACATCAAGGTGGCTTTAAAAAAAGACTAGGCAAATTAAGGGGGAATAAGGCTCTCATTGGCTACTAGCAATAATGTCTATGTTCTCCTTTCACTGCCAGGGGCAGCATGCCTTTGAATGTCAGTTGCCTGGAGTCAAAAGTGAGGAGAGTTCTCTAGCACTCAGGTGGTTGGCCACTGTGAGGACAGGGTGATGGGCTAGATGGACCACTAGCCTGATCCAGTGGGGTTCTTCTTGTATTCTGGTGTTGGAAAAGACTTTGGGGACATCCAGGTCTAGGCTGAGCAGAAAGGCCACCAAATGCAGCAAGGCTGGATTGTCACATTTTGTAGTTAGTAGAGTAATACATCTAAAAAGCCCCACCCCACCCCCATAATACCATTGCTCAGAGTCAAAAATACTGGGGGGGGGGCTGGGTTCAGAGTTAACAAGGAGAATAGGGAAAGGAATAAAAAAAAGATTTCTTGCCTTTTTCTTTGACTCCCCACTTCCTTGCGGGTGGCCACTGGTATCATCTTTATCAAAGCCCCTAATATGATCAGATCAAGTGCTTATTAACATATGTCATAAAGAAGTGCATAGGAGGAAGGCAGAAAATGCATATGGTGCCTGCTTTTGTTCACACAAGAGAGCTATATTTGGCTGCTCTGTGGGGGCAGATCCTGGCAACTTGTTATATTTGACATTTTGTGAGTGATATGATTAATGTACTTTTTATGTTACTTAGAAGGTGTGATGAGAGAGTTCTGACCTCTCCCTGCACCCTGGCATCTCCTAGAAGACCAATTAACAGGGCATCTGAGTTCCTTAAGTGGTCACAGTGGTGTATTAGAATGTCTTGGATCTTTCTTTGTCTAGCTCCTTCCCTTTGACCTTACCCTCTTGGGTGACCCTGCTGGGAGTACAAGATTCCCTACAGCTTCACTCACAAGGGTCATAGGAACGTGCAAGCCCACTCACTCCTGCCCGGGAACCAATGTCCCCACTGTGGAAGGACATGTGGGTTCAGAATTGGCCTCCACAGTCACTTATGGACTCATTGTTAAATCTGTGTTTATGGAAGACAATCTTACTCGGCTACGAGTGATCGCCAAAGATTAGAATGTATTAGAGTGTTGGCTCAGAACCTAGGACACCACGGTTCGAATCCCCACTCATTCATGAAGCTCATTCCTGAAGAGCCAGTGTGGTGTAGTGGTTAAGAGCGATAGACTCGTAATCTGGGGAACCGGGTTCGTGTCTCCGCTCCTCCACATGCAGCTGCTGGGTGACCTTGGACTAGTCACACTTCTTTGAAGTCTCTCAGCCCCACTCACCTCACAGAGTGTTTGTTGTGGGGGAGGAAGGGAAAGAAGAATGTTAGCTGCTTTGGATATCAAATCCAAACTCTTCTTTTTACTGGATGACCTTGGGTCAGTCACAGTCTGTCACCTTAACCTACTTCACAAGGTTGTTGTGAGGATACAGTAAGGAGAAGGAGAACCATGTACACAATTTTGAACTTCTGGGGGGCGGGGTGATGGTATAGAAATGTAAGCAATAAAACAAATGAACAAATATCACAATGCTTTAGCCCAATGGAATGTCACTTGTCACCACCTACTGAGTATAGAGCAGTTGGACTTTACAGAAGCTTGGCAAAAAGTTCCAAGGCAAAGATGTGGAATGAAATACCAAAGGGTCATCTTCTTCTTCTTCTTCTTCTTCTTCTTCTTCTTCTTCTTCTTCTTCTTCTTCTTCTTGCTGCTGCTGCTGCTGCTGCTGCTGCTGCTGCTGCTGCTGTTTTGAATCTCCTTGGGCCAATCAGATTGTACCAGCTGCAGTTGAATGAAACCATTTTTTTAATTAATAAAATATATAGAACATGATATTATAATCAATTTAAATGAACAATTTAAAAAGGCAGTTCTAACTTCTGAACTTGCCCTAACTACCTGCATAAGTTTCAGGTTACTGGAATTGTCCATCTCTCTTCCTACCCTCCTGGCAGGTGGACAGCAATTGAGCTTTATTAACAGGACTTTGCTAAGCATTTATAGTTCTTTGCCTGCCGGTCTTTCTTTTTGTGGTGGTTTTGTCTTCCCGACTGATTTGGGAGAGATTTTGTAAATGAGCTGTGTGTCATACTAAGTACTTATCTAAGAGATCACAATATACAGTGAGGGTGGGAAGCCTAAAGTCTGTGTGGACACCTGAGCCCACCTGTTCTCTGCAGGTGATCTAGCAAGGTGCAGCTGCACTCTCTGTGCAGCACCTCATGGTGGGGGGATAGTAATCCTTTGTTAATTGTGCAGCTTCCCAGACTGAGGATAAAGAGGTGCATATTTGAATGTTATAATGTCCAAAGAGATGAAAAACTAATACTGTGGTTCCTTGGGTTAAGAACTTAATTCGTTCTGGAGGTCCGTTCTTAACCTGAAACTGTTCTTAACCTGAGGTACCACTTTAGCTAATGGGGCTTCCCGCTGCCACCACGTCGCCGCCATGCAATTTCTGTTCTCAAACTGAAGCAAAGCTCTTAACCAGAGGTACTATTTCTGGGTTAGCAGAGTCTGTAACCTGAAGCGTCTGTAACCTGAAGCATCTGTAACCCGAGGTACCACTGTACTGGTTGGATTTCCAATAGCAGGCAAATAGTTGTGGGTGGTGGGTTTTGCTTGTTGCTTTTAATATTGGGGAACATTATATTTTAAAAAATATGTCCCCCAGCAGTGGACATTCCAGAGTGGACGATACAGTCCCCCCACCCAATCTGAATTGGCAGTGAACATCACTGCAGGGCACCTGTCTACAAAGTGCCTGGGGATCATCTGTCTGCTCCCGGGATTTATCAAAGATCCAGCATCAACTGACCCACTTTAATTCATCAGAGGTCAGCATCCTTACTTTAGTTAGAACTGCCAGGAACCTTGGCCCTTAGATCGCTCAGTTGGTAGAGCAAGAGCCTCTTAATCATGGGGCCGTGGGCCTCACGTTGGGCAAAAGATTCCTGCATTGCATGATTGAACTATAGAACCCTCAGCGTCCCCTGCAACTCTATGAAATCGCGCCCTCTGGCTTGGAAGCCTGATCTTAGTGACCAGGTCTGTAGGAGGCGACTGCGGTGACTCCACTTTGCACGCGCTCAAAAGAGCCCTTATCAGAACGTCCCTTCCTCTGGGGACGAGCCTTGGAGAGCAAACGAGAGCTGTATCTGAGCGAAGAAGAGTTGCTGCAGGGGCACTTGCTCATGGTTAAAAGGGAAAGGGAAAGAGGTCGCGAATCTGACGTGGGGCAGAGTGCGTGACAATGGGTGGGCAGGGCTTTCCTTTCTCCCCGGCCTGGCGGTGCTGAAGGGGGAGAGCGGTTTGTACTCGACGGCCCTCCTCCTCCTCCTCCTGTCCCCATAAAGGAGCTTGACTGGAGAGAGCCTTCACGTCTCATGCCCCTTCGGCTCCGCCTGTGCCAACCTGACCAGCTCGTTCCAGATCGCGCACCTGTCCTTCCCCACCTCTCCGCCTTGGGGCCGCAGTGGGGTTGGGTGGCCGCCTCCCCGCGTGCTCTCCAGCCCCTCTGCGCCCCCTACCATCCATGGACGGGGCGGGCGCCGCGCCTTGAGGATGGAGAAACTGGCGAAGTTCCCATCCCGGGGCGCCTTTGCGCCGGGCCAGCCGCAGCCTCCGCAGCAGACGGACGACGACGACGACGAAGAGGACGAAGAGGAGGACGAGGACTGCTACGCCGAGCTGCTGGCCCAAGGCTTGCTGGACGAGGCGCCCCAGGCCGGCTCGCTGCCCGGAGGACGGCGCCGTGGGGCCCCCGAGCCGGGGCTCCGCGCTGGGATCAAGGCAGGTGAGGGGGCAGCTGCACGCCGGCCAGCGGGAAGGGGCAGCCCAGAGAGAGGGGATCACAATCCCTCAGGGCCGGTGGGGGCAGCCTCGGATCGGGGAGCCCTTCCTCGTGTCTTCCTGCTGGGCTGGGACCAATGCCGTTGCGCACTCTGCACCAGCCCCGGGGATTTGTCACCACCCCCTGCTCCCGTTTGTGCTGCCTTTGGCACTGGGAGCAGAGACCAGGATGGAGGATGCTCGGGTTTAAACTCCTTGTCTTCCCCTCCCACCCACGGATGCGAAGGGAACGTCTTTCCAAATAATTGCAGTGGAAAGAGATGCCACGGAGCCAATGCCGAGCTTATCTTGTTTCCATTGCATTCCAAGTACGCAGTGAAAAGGACGCACAGGTCATCCCCCCACCCCCACGTCACCCCCTCAGTTTGGTGAGAAAAGTACAAAGGCTTTCATTCCCACCGACTTCCCTCCCTTTCGCTGCCGTTCTCTCTCTGAAACCCAGATCCTAAACATATTTACAGAAAGCGAAAGGCTGCAAGAGGTCCCCTTGAACTCAGCGGGACTTCCTTCTAAATAAATACATAGGCTTGGAATGCGAGTCTCCCTGATTTTAGCTGGGCTTCTTGGAATTACAGTCACAGAGCTTGGCTTCAGTTTACTATACAGATGTGCAAGATGGTGTCTTTTAGTGGTGTAGTGTTTTGCTGGTGCTAAAGTCTGCAAGTCTGAGGTGGGCATTCCCTCAGCTGGGTATCTACAGATTCCAAATTGGCAAGGGAACATTTACTAGAGTAATTTCTATTGGTGCATGGGGTTTTGTTACCGAGGTACCCAAAATTCAACAGTCTGCATGTGAAATATGAATATAATAGCTAAAACAGCAGCATTGATTGGACCAAATATTCACCTCTTCCCGTATGCCTACCGAACATTCTTCTTTTCACAGCTTTTAACACTTTGTATAGCTCTATGATAAGAAGACAAAACTAGAAGTCATCCGCTGCAGCCATGGGGATGTTGCTCTTGTTGCATTGGGACTATTGGATGTGTTTGTGTGTATGCGCAATGTGGCTCTTTGCCTTTGCAACACACCTGATCTGGATTAGGCTTCTCCCCATGTGGCTCTGATCTGCATCAAGAGGGGAAAGCTCCCATCCAAGAAATCCAAGTTCAAAATTGTGTGGAGTTCCCAGCTACAGGCATAGCAAAATAAAATGAACCAACAGCCCACAGTTCATTTTGATTCATTGTGTTTTCTTCTTAAACTCCCTTGTGCTCAGAAATTCATTTTAACCGTGAACCCCTTTCCTTGGAAGAGGAAGATGGAAAGAGCCAGGAAAGTAAGATAAAATCTCTGAACAAACACTCGCCTCCAAAGAAAACGATCACTCAGATGATGAAGGATAAGAAGAAGCAGACGCAGCTCACCTTGCAATGGTAAGACCACTGGCCACTCCAGAGTGCTGGTTAACTCTGCACACTTACTGAGGAGTGAGTCCCATTAAACTCAATGGCACTTGCTTTGGAGTAGACACGCAATGCCCCTTTCCTTCTACTCCAGGGGTATACAACATGGTGCCCTCCAGACATTATGGACTATAATTCCAAGAATATTTGCCCATCAGCCATGCTGGACGGGGGTTATGGGAGCTGCAGTCCAAGCACCTAGAGTGCTCCATGCTGTGTACACAGTGTTACTTTTCCCCATTTAATGTACAGTGGTACCCCGCAAGACGAATGCCTCGCAAGACGGAAAACCCACAAGACGAAAGGGTTTTCTGTTTTGGAGGCGCTTCGCAAGACGAATTTCCCTATGGGCTTGCATCGCAAGACGAAAGCCCATAGGGAAATGCTGACGGTCGGGAGCAAAGACTTTTGCCCACAGCCGGCCTTCAGAAGAGGACCTCTTCTGAAGGCCGGAGGGGGGCAAAAGTCTTGCCCCCCCCCCCCGCCTGCCCCGGGCGATCTTAAAATGCTGGCGGGCGGGAGCGAAGCGTTCGCTGCCGACCCCCAGCATTTTAAAATCTCCAAGGGACAGCAGAGAAGTCTCTGTCCCGGGGAGATTTTAAAATGCTGGGGGTCGGGAGCGAAGCGTTAGCTGCCGACCCCCAGCATTTTAAAATCTCCCCCTGTCCCGGGGAGGTTTTAAAATGCTGGGGGTCGGGAGCGAAGCGCTGCCGACCCCCAGCATTTTAAAATCTCCCCGTGTCCCGGGAAGGTTTTAAAATGCTGGGGGTCGGGAGCGAAGCGCTGCCGACCCCCAGCATTTTAAAATCTCCCCGTGTCCCGGGAAGGTTTTAAAATGCTGGGGGTCGGGAGCGAAGCGCTGCCGACCCCCAGCATTTTAAAATCTCCCCGTGTCCCGGGAAGGTTTTAAAATGCCGACCCCCAGCATTTTAAAATCTCCCCGTGTCCCGGGAAGGTTTTAAAATGCCGACCCCCAGCATTTTAAAATCTTCCCGGGACACGGGGAGATTTTAAAATGCTGGGGGTCGGCAGCGCTTCGCTCCCGACCCCCAGCATTTTAAAACGCTGTTCCGAAGCGGGGCGGGGGGGCGGGAACACCTTCTGAAGGCGGGCAGGGGGCGAAAGTCTTTGTCCCCCCTGCCTGCCTTCCCAGGGGCTTTTAAATCGCCCCAGACAGCGGAGAAGTCCTCCGCTGTCCCGGGGTTTTTTAAAATGCTGGGGGTGGGAAGAAAAGCCATTGTTCCCCCCCCCCAGCCTTCAGAAGAGGTCCGGGGACAGACTGTCCCCGGACCTGGTCTGAAGGCGGTTTCCCTAGGAACGCATTAATTGATTTTCAATGCATTCCTATGGGAAACCGTGCATCGCAAGACGAAAAAACCGCAAGACGAAGAGACTTGCGGAACGAATTAATTTCGTCTTGCGAGGCACCACTGTATTCATTTTTAATTGTTTTAGGCTAGCGTGATTTCCATGTCATTGTAAGCCTAAATATGGATTACCAGGACTGCAATAATAATAATAATAATAATAATAATAATAATAATAATAATTGCACCCTGCCCATCTGGCTGGGTTGCCCCAGTCATTCTGGATGGCTCTTTGGGTGGCTTTTAGTTCATTGTGACAGCTGATCCAAGCTTTGGCTTCACATGCCATTCACACGCAGGATTGTGGTTGAGGAAGAGTGATCTTAACCACGATCCTGCATGCAGGTGGCACACACTAAACCAAAGCTTGGGCAAACTGCTCTGCCCTGCTGAGCTAAAAGGCCAGCCAGGCAGTTGTTATATGCTCCCTGGAAGCCAATACACCTCTGCGTTCATGCTAGGCTATGGTTTGGCTTAGGGTTAGGTCAGAGGCAGGACTATTAACATTTAGGAAAAATGATTGGAAGAAAGTGGTGGAGGTATTCACACAGTACAAAAGGACCAGGACTTTTTTTTCCAATTTCTGGGCTGGTCAGTAATAATAATAAGAAAGGTAGATAAACTAGGATTAAGGATAGGACAGAGTATTTCATGTTATTGGCTTGTTTTCCACCTTTAGGTTGGAAGAGAATTATATTGTATGTGAAGGGGTTTGTTTGCCGAGGTGCATCCTCTATGCACATTACCTGGACTTCTGCAGGAAGGAGAAACTTGAACCTGCCTGTGCTGCCACATTTGGGAAGGTAAATAAGGCATTTGATTCACCTGTTTTCATTTCATTGCTTTTTTGAAATAAACAAAACCAGTTCCCTCATTTTCTTCAAGAGGCGTTTAATTTGAGCCTCTGATTTCTCCCATGATAACAAGACTGAGCAAAGCCCTCTGTGCTTTCAGTGAAATGTTATTTTAAATCTTACTCCTGGTAGGATATGCTCAATGTCCTTCTTTGTTTTGCAACATGGGACTGAGAAGGGGCAGTAGTAGAAGCTGGGGATTTGCAGGAGGATAGAATCAGTCCTTCACCTGAAGAGGTGCAGGGTAGAGGAAAAGGATTGCTGGAGTCGGCAAAGTTGAAAGGCATGTAACTTTTGTAATAATTACTGTGAGAACAGGGCACAGTTAATGAAAGAGATAGAAAGGGATAGGGTTGCAGGTGGCAGATCTTTCCTCTTCCCTCCTACCCCCAATTGACAAAAATCCACCCACGCTTTAATGTTGAACTTATTTAATCAAAGTGAGAGGTGGGCTTTCCAAATTAAATCCAAACTACTAGGAACTAGTGAAACTAAACACCAAGAAAGCTCCAGAGTTCAAAAAACACCCATGATATCTCCCAATTGCTTTGTGGAGCTGAAACACATTAGTTTAATGAAACGGGGGAGGGGGTCCATGTCTCCCAATGATATTAAATGACTTCAGTACCAACAAGAGTGAATTAACCTTAATTCCTAGCCCCAACTGCATTACTTCCTTTTCCGAATTTTGGCAACAGTGGGATTATCTCTTTCTATTAGATGTGGGGCTTTCCGGCTCCAGGGTATTTGCTCTGTTGTTGGCTGCTGAGCTGTGGTGTCTGTGACTTTTGGCAGCTTGGCTCACCCTCAGTTGTGCCATTGCAGAAGTCAGTTCCAAGGAGAGCCTTTTCAAAACAAGATTAGCTATGCTGCTCAACTGAAAAACAACAACCCAGTATCGGCACATCTCAAGTTCAGAGTTCCTTATCTCAAACCACATTGAATAAATTGGTTCTCCAAGCTAAAAAAAAACCCTTGTTTTAAAACCCACCTGGCTTTTTGGTAACTGTCCAGCTACTCATATTGCCCAGTTGTCTTGCTGATGCTTCCAGGGCAATTCACATGGGATGCTAAAAGTGACACTGGGCTTTTCTTGTGCCACTTGTCCAAAATTGTTTGATTCTTGTTCTAGTGGCACAGAATGTGGAAGAACATCTGCCTTGTGTGCAGAGTGTCCCAGGTTCAATCCCCAGAAACTTAAGTAGGGATGGGAAATTCATCTGCCTGGAACCCTGGAATCTCTTACCTGCTGTTGTAGACACATCTGAGCAAAATGGACCATTGGCTTGACTTGGCATAAGGCAGCTTCCTGTGTTCCTAGATGTAAATCTTAAGCTATGGAGGTTTTACATTCAGGTTTCACAATGTGGGAAATGAGAGTGGCAGGGGAGATGAACACAATGCCACAGCCTTTGCCTTCCCGTTATAGATATTTAATTCCTGATCTTTCACTCTAGACTATTCGTCAGAAATTTCCTCTTCTCACCACAAGGCGGCTGGGCACCAGAGGCCACTCAAAGTAAGAGATACTTCACCTCTAGCGCTTCGGAGCTGTGATTTCCCAATCTATAAATGTGTGTGTTAAGCCGTAAAATCATTCATCAGACAACGGGAATTCTCATATGAGATGAATTAATAAATAGTCTCTAAAACAGGGTGCAGAATCTATTTCAGATATGGGGCCATGTATTCTTGTGGCTGATCTTCCAGGGGCTGCATGGATGGGGCCAGATAAAAAGCAGGCAGGGGCAAAGGTCCTAGCCACACTCGCCAAAATAATCACAAACACACACACCCCTGCAGTCACACACAGCAGTTAGGTTTGAAAAAGGCCTCCTATTGGAGCTGATAGGAGGCTTTTCTCCAAACCTAATTGTGGAACTGGGCATTATTAATGGGGAAGATTAATGATAGAATAATAGCTCTGGGTCCAACCCCCAAGAAGAAAGCTATTAATTAAAAGGCCCCTCAAAGCCTCAGTAGCACTTGGCCTGGCCACACTTAGAGCAATTATGTTTTACAATTCTTAAAATATGCACAGATGAGATCTGAAGAAAACAAAAACCCCAACCAGGATATCAACATGGAAAATTCTGGGGTGCAACAGATTAGCAAATCAAAATGTCTTTAGGATGATTCACAAGCATATCATTGGCAGATCCTGTTCCACTAAAAAAGGCCACAAATACTTAAAAACCTTCAGATTAAATGACAAAAGTCTGGGTAAAAAGGAAAGTTTTTGCTTAGTGCCTAAAACTAGACAAAAATGGTGTCAGATTATCTTCCCTGGGGAGAGCATTCCACAAATGGGGAGCCGCCACAGAAAAGACCCGTTCTCATATTGCCACTCTCTGGACCTCTCATGGAAGGGGCACCAGAATAAGGGCCTCCAATGATAATAGCAAGGTTTGGGTTGGTTCATATAGGGAGAATCAGTCCTTGAGGTATTGCAGTCCTGAGCCCACAGGCAGAGGAAGAGGGGGCGGGGAGAGCGCACCGCCCCCAGACCACCCCCCTGTGGTGGGCGCCACGCCCCCAGGACGTGCACCACGCCCCTGCAGGTGGCGCACCACGCCCCGGGACACATGCCACGCCCCCGAGACACGTGCCAGCCACGTCCCCGCCTGTTCTCTGCCACTGTCTGAGCCATTTAAGGCATTATAGCTCAAAACCACCAGTTTGAATTAGGCCCAGAAACTAATTGGCAGCCAGATCCATGTACTCTAGGTCTGATCTTTTATAAATACCCTTGTGTGAGCCCAGGTGAGATTCATTTCCTACTGATTTCCTACAACCAAACCTTATTTACTTTGATGCTTGATGAAAAGGCTGAAAATTTTATTTTTTTATTTATCTCCCAACATTTATATGCCTCTTGACTGTAATAAAACCACAAAGTGGTTTACAAAAGGCAGAATGAATGGGCTGGGTGAACAAGAGGGGGAGGGAGTGAAAGATGGAAGAGGTTAGAGTAAGCGTAGTGAAATGGCAAAAGTGATGGAAAGCCCCGGAGGAAGAGACCCTTCCACACAACTGCTGTCCATGAAATCCCGCAGGCAGTTAACTTAGTAGGAACCATTAAACAAATGGCCCAGTGCAGAGAAAGCTGTTGGACATAAGCCCTATTGAAATCAACGTGACAGATAAATTAGCTGTGCTTAAATTAAGCCACACAAGTAACTTCCTCTGGACCAAGGCCAAGGTCTGTTGTGCAGCTGCGGTTCCTGTTGAGGGATGACCTGTGTAGGTGTCATGGAGGGCAGATGCTGTGGGCTGTTTGAGCTCGAGTTACAGTTTAATTTCTTTGTAGACTTTGATCAATGCTAAATCTTAGCTTCCCTGCGCCATTTCTGAAAGGCATTATCTTATTTATTAAAAGTGATTTAGTGGGTTAATAAAACTGATATGGCAGCTGGCCTTGCGATAATGAGTTATTGCAAGTGCCTGAGCAGCTTAATCCTATCATTGCCCTTATCAGCCATCATTTGTGTCAGCATATGCTCAGGCCAGGGCTACTTGCCGCACAGGAACATATGTCCATGCACATGAAAATGGGAGAGAAATAGAGGGAAAGAGATTGTTCTGCTTCTTACAGTAAATTTTGACGAAAAATACACATATGAAGATTGTCTTCACATCTTTTATTCATTTTCAGTACAATAAAAACAATTAGACACTAAATAAACCTATCCCATCTCTCTTATGCATCCTATAAATCAATTTCCCTTTTCTTGATCCTCCCTCTTCTATCATACTGTATTTTATATTAAAAAATTACTTTTTATGTTACAGATAGTAAACTATTCAATAGCTAAAGTTCACTATGGCAAGTGAGCTCGCTTCTGCATACCTCCGACTGCTGGAAATAAGCGGTTTCTAAAAATCCAAATAAGTTGGGTTCCTGGCTTAAATGTCAATACTTAATGACAAAATGGATGCCATCATATAAACTACTGTCTTGTTTTTCTCTTATTTGCTTATGAGTCTTAAGGAAAGGCATGCACCTGTTTTCAGGGACACTGGTGAAACTTCTTATTGTGATAACACTTTGGGGTCTTTCATCACCTTGACTAGTCATGCTCCTAAGTTCAAATCTTAGCTTTTAATAATGTCCTGTCTTGGGGGACAGGATTACTGAATGAAGGTTACCTAATGAACATAAAAAAATAAAACTTGAAAGTCTGAGTTCTGCTTTGTCCTCAACTTTTTGTGCCCCTTTTAACAGCATATCTATCTATCATCTATCTATCTATGTATTTATCTATCTATCTATCTATCTATCTATCATCTATCTATCTATCTATCTATCTATCTATCTATCTATCATCTATCTATCATCATCTATATCTATTTTATCTCTATATCTGTTTGTTGGCTTCTTCCCTGCTACAGATATCACTATTATGGAATTGGCATTAAAGAAAGCAGTGCATACTATCACTCAGTGTATTCTGGAAAAGGTTTGACAAGGTATGGTAAAATAACATTTGAAGTATAACTGATATAGTGTTGAATGATGTTCAAAAATCACCTTGGACTAGTTCACACATGTACACTTGATTTTTCACCACTTGATTATTATATTACATGATCAGGCATTTGCTTGAACATGCAAATGCTCAAAGTGTGGACAGGGGAGTGGTGTGCATTCAGGCCCTATTTGTGTTATATGTTACAAGTAACATATAACTAATGGCTACCCTCTCCTGCCACACCAGTGTGGCGTGTCACACCCTTTGAGAACAACTGATTTATGGGCTCATTGCCTTGTGGGCAGTCTGTGTGTGGGAGGAACATCCTGACAGTGGGTGGGGTTGAAGCCAACAGAGACAATTGCATAACTCTACAACACACCCCTTATTGGGGACACTTTGGGGAACATGCTCTTAAATGCCCCGGAAAACAGAATTGTGTTGTCTAGCACCTAAATGAGAGAAATGAGGTCTCTAGTAGGTGCTCTTGGGGAGGGCATTCCAAAGGCAAGGAGCCACCACAGAAAAGGCACAGTCATCAAAAAAAGTGGCAAACTTTTAGCTATTCTAGGACTGAGTTAGGCTGCTTGCAGACAGGGATTTATTGTGGAACCACTGCTACTCATGCACAGAAGCTTTTTGCAACATCCACATCAAAATGTCAGGCCATAATTTTTGTTGTATTTAATCCAAATTTCTTCTGACTGCAGAAAATCTTTTAAGGAAAAACAGACCTCTATATGTCTGCAGTCACCACTGGTATGAAAGGAAGCTAGTGCATTGGTTTGAGTGGACAATTTATCATATAATGTTTCAGTCTCCATCACCACCGGAATTTCAGTATAGCTGAATATATATCTGCATTATTATTATTATTATTATTATTATTATTATTATCATCATCATCATCATCATCATCATCATTATCCAAGTGAAAATAGATGTTGCTTCACTCTCCTCAAAAAAGCACCACCCTCCCTTTTGTGAAACATGATAACTAGTGAGTGGTAGTATTTTTCCTCAACATTTCCTAAATTTTACATCCTAATGCAAATGTGAAATATCTTGGTTTTCAAAGGTTTTCTGGAAGCAAGTTGAAGAATGAGGTGAGTAATATTTCATATGCTTTTGTAATGTGGTGGGAACATCAGATACACAGAGCCCTACTGATCCCATAGTGGAAGTTCCACAGTCTTTTGATGTCTGCTTCAAAACCTCATGTAGTTGTGGCCTGTTGTTTATACTTGGTAAGAAGACTAGAAAATGCAGACTCTTGAACCAGAGGGGGAAGTGAACTCAAATTAGAGATTTAAGAACAGAACAGCTACAGGAAATTTTTGACTCCACTCAGATACAACCAAGTTTAAGGTGACCTAACAACTGAACTGTACAATAGCACAATCCATATATGTGGGGCATCAACAAAGCTCTTCCCAGTGTCAGCTTCCCCCAGTTTGGGGAGGACCAAAATTTTAGATTGTTTAGCAACATGTCCCCCAGGTAACATAAGATATGAATATTTTACAGAACTACAGTCAATAATGTTCATTAAAGGTAAAGGTAAAGGTACCCCTGCCCGTACGGGCCAGTCTTGACAGACTCTAGGGTTGTGCAACCATCTCACTTAAGAGGCCGGGGGCCAGCGCTGTCCGGAGACACTTCCGGGTCACGTGGCCAGCGTGACAAAGCTGCATCTGGCGAGCCAGCGCAGCACACGGAAACGCCGTTTACCTTCCCGCCAGTAAGCGGTCCCTATTTATCTACTTGCACCCGGGGGTGCTTTCGAACTGCTAGGTTGGCAGGCGCTGGGACCGAGCAACGGGAGCGCACCCCGCTGCGGGGATTCGAACCGCCGACCTTTCGATCGGCAAGCCCTAGGCACTGAGGCTTTTACCCACAGTGCCACCCGCGTCCCATAATAATGTTCATTACATTATGCTAATTGATTATAGACAGAACTTTCCCAAGCCTCCCACGTCTACAACCTTTTTTGCTTCACTGAGCACACAGATTTGCAAATGGTTGGTTCCCCTCACCCACTGTGAAGGCAGCAGTATCAGCAAACTCCTTTATCTAAAGCATTTATTGTGCCATTCAAGACTCTGTGATTAATTGAGCCACAAATAATTGCTGTCATGGACTCTCACGTTAAGCGGGCTTACGACGAGTTCCTTCGAAGGGAAAGACACCCATGGCAAATGTGCGGCTGAGACCCAAGTCTCCAGATTCATTATTGAATTCCTCATGCCAATGTTTTCTCTGCATTCAACACAAACCCACACACCACACCTCCTCCCTCAGCTCCCCTTGCCCCTCATTTTTGAATGTTTGATGGGTACTTGCATCATGATGTTTCTCTTGTTTTTTAAAAAACAACAACACAAAAAACAGTCTCCAAATGCTGAGAGGTAATTGTTCAACTGCAGCCATGTTGACTCATGACAGTCTTTTAAACCACCTAATGTTTGTGTCAATACAGAATGTGAACACACATCACTTCTTTCATTTAGCTCTTTATCTGTGTTTGTGTAGCCTGATTCTTAGGTGAGGTGCAGCCTCACTATCTATATTTCTATCCTTGCTCACTTTATTTTACTTTAAATTGTTGAAAATCTAAAACAATGGTTCCCCAATCTTTACCTCTATGGACCACTTGAAAATTGCTGAGGGTCTTGGTAGACCACTTCCTGATTTTTCCACCTCTCATAGAAATCGCAATGTGCCAGATTCTTTAATGGTATTTTAGAGCTATGTTTATTTCTTTTATATTGCATTTTATGGCATTACAATTTGAATTCCATGCAACACAATAAAACACAATATAAGAAGTAAATGAAGCAATAATAAACCATTAAAAATAAAATAAAAATATTTAATGTGATGGATGTGCCGTATCCTGTCTTAAACCACAAATCCACGGACAAGCCATGAACCACCTGAATGAATCTTGTGGACCACTGATGGTTCTCAGACTACAGTTTGGGAATTTCTGATTTAAAACATCCATTGACTATTATCCTTGAATCATGAGATTGGTCATGGATAGACTGCTTAGTTAGATGGCCTGATTTGTGTCACCCAGCATGCTAATTCTGAGAGTGCCGATATATAACAAATTCAAAAGCTGAGGTCACTGGAATAAATATAAAGGGGTGCAATGTTCAAGCCAGACTAATGTTGCACTTCTTCAATTTTTTGCCGTTATTCACATTCTGTGCTCCTGGTTCCATGTTGTAAACTGTAGGATCGAAAATATGGGATCCAAATAAATTTAGCTTTCAGTAGTTACCAACACATAGTTACCCACACTCCATACAAATGTTGTATCCCAGCATCTGCTAAGGGCCCAGAAATCAAAGGGAGCCTTCCTCTGTGGCTCTCAATCCTTCTACCTCTGATCCCACCCAAATCCCTCTTACAAATTAAAAAGTCTGCAAAAGCTACAAAATGAATATTTTACACATAATATACAGATTATGATCATTTATCCCGAGAATATGAGTTTCCTTGCTGTGGAAAGTACTTTTTTCAGTTTCAAAATCTTTTATTATTATTTTTTAAAAAAACACACACAGAGAAAGTAAAACAAATTAAAATATAATACAAAACTTTAAAGGGCAGGTATGAAAAAGAAGGCAACAAGGAGAAAACACAGTTTTTGGAATCATTTCAGGAAGAAGCATCCAGGTTTTTTAAGAAAATCTTTTCCCCTTTTCCCTCTCCTGTCCTTTAATGCTTAGGGTTAGTGTAGAAACATAGGCAGGTGGGGAACTTGGAGCTATCTGGTTGATCCAGAAAATGCCTGGGCAGATTTATTATTGCAATTCAATTTCTCTCTCTCTCTCTCTCTCTCTCTCTCTCTCTCTCTCTCTCTCTCCCCTCTGTTGCTGTGTGCTAAAGCACCACCATATATATATTTCTGATTTAGTTTTCATATGCATAGATTTATTATTAATTTAATTGATTTATTCACAACTTAATTTAAGCAATCTTGAAGTGGCTTGCAAAGTAGAAACTTGAGGGAAACCCAAATCTGAAGTACAAATAAATAAGAGAGAGAGAAACATACTTTAAATTTTAAAAAATGGAATCTAAATATAAAAACAAAATACTGGTCAAAACAAAAGCAAAAAGTTTCCTAATGCCAGCTTCATAATTCTGATCAGTAAATTTATGCCAATTAGTATGGCCAACTTTTATCCTGCTAAAATTGCGGCTGGTTGTTGGCGTGAAGATGTAATATTGTTTTCCATCTTATAGGGTGGATTCACTCGGAAATATTCACTGAGCTCCAAAACTGGGACTCTCCTTCCAGAATTCCCCAGCGCCCAACACCTTGTACTGGATGGGTGCATCTCCAAAGAAAAGGTAAAAATGTAAAGTGATAATATATTGAACTAAATCAGCTCCTTTTTATTCTGTCTCTCTTCCTTTGAAGGCTTCACAGTAGTAGTGACATGAAACAAGTAGAAATATCTATACTCAAACAAACTTGACTGATTTATAGTGGGAGCAAACCTCTATTATCTCCTTTTAACTGGCTCTCCGGTGGAAAGTGGTTAAATTATTTACATATTAACTTGCCTAATATTTTACAAACAGGTGGTATTTGCCTTAAGAAGGGCAAAACAAAGAAATAGTTAGGAGTACTATCCATTCCAAATACCAATGGATTAATTTAGCACTGATAAGATAGGAGCAAACGATTGGGGCAAATTATTAAGTGGATTTTTCCTCCTGCCTAGTTTTATCAATGAACAGACCATAGCACACTTGTACTTACTGATTATTTTTAAATTATGTACATGTGGAGTTTACATGACAGAAAATAGCACTGGGCATTTCAGCTAGCAGATTGGGTTCATTTCTTTGTAGACCTTTGTGAATAATCACATAAAATGTAGACCTTTATGAACAATCTCACTGAAAATATTTCACAATTTTGGCTTATTGTCCATTTGATCATTGGGATCTCTCAGACTTTCCCAGTCTTCATTAAAAGCCTCAGATATGCTTTAGATCCCACAGGAGTCCATGAAAATGTAGACACTGGTTTCTATGGAGACACTTTAGCTCGGAAAGGTACTCTACCTGAAGCATACAACATGTCCTTGTTGTAGAAGATACAGTCTGCATATGCCAGGCAAATTATCATTTAAAATAATTTTATAGTTTTGACAAGAATCTCCATTATTCTATTTGATTGGGTGGTCCAGATCAACCATTACAGCAAGATGATGTATAACATTCAATTACCAAAATGCTCATTTTGGAGATCAAAGTCAAAAATCAGCATTTGAATTTTAACAGAAGAACCCAACGTGGAATGTTCAGTTTCAAAGGCTAGTCACTTTCTGCTCCTTTGATTGGACAGTTTATCTTGGCATGTTAAACACTATTGCTGTATATTTTTAACTCTCTTCTGTGTTACATCAAGAAGCAGAAGGACAGAGCATGGCAAAGCTTTAGTTCCAGCCTGAGTGTTGCAGTGGAGAGTGCTGGATTGAAATCATGGCTTAGCCATGATAAATCACTCTTTGGCCTTCTTAAGTCATTTATCTCCATGAAAAAGATTTGTGTTTGAAGCCCTTGAGAGATGCTGGCACTCAATGCTAGCAATAGATGGACCAATGGTCTGATAAAGTAGAAGGCAATGTCCTATGTGCTTATGATAGTTGTATAGGTTTGCTGTGAGGGCAAATGAGGCTTCCAAGGCACTTTGAAAATCTTACATAAATGGTAAATTGCATAAATTAACAACTAAGTGATCAGCTCGCTTGAGTGCAATGCTCAATTCCATACATTATTATTTTGTATTAGATCAGCTTTCACAGTTAATGCAAAAATGCACTATGATACTTACTAAATTCCTGTAGAAGAGGTGAAAGTTTGTGTGAAGGGCCATAGCTCAGTGGTAGAAAACATGCTCTGCATGCAGAAGGTTCCAGGTTCAGTCCCTGGCATTTCCGAGGAAGAATGGGAAGCATTCCTGCCTGAAACCCAGGAGAATTTCTGGCACTCGGTGTCAACAATACTGAGATTGAAGGACCAATGGTCTGATAGTATAAGGTGGCTTCTTATGTCTCTGAATTTCATTTGATTTTAATAATTTTTTTTAATTCCTGAAATAGGTAGATACCCTCATCATGATGTACAAAACCCATTGTCAGTGTGTCCTGGACAATGCCATTAATGGAAACTTTGAAGAGGTAAGGCTCACTTGAGTACGCACCTAGCACTTACCCGGACAAGGTCATGGCCATCATATCATTCATATCTGTGCTCTGCTTGCTCTTCCATAGATCCAACATTTTCTATTACATTTTTGGCAAGGAATGCCCGACCACCTCCTCCCCCTGCTTGAAAACCCTGTGATCATTGACATCTTCTGTGTTTGCGACTCAATACTATACAAGGTGTGTTCCATGTTAACTAAAGTGGAGAATGGAAATATTGTCCCAAGCTAAGTCCTCAATGAAGTGAGAAGCTTCAGTCTCCATACAGGGTTCATGTGACTGAATACTCCTCTATACAAAAATCATTAAAATCACTGCAGATAGAAAACAGGAGTGTCAGGGTTCCTTTCTAGTTTTTTATCAGGAGTACCACCTATAGTGGAATGGTTGATGGGGAGGGAAGTGAAGTGTTAAAGTTTCTACAAACTTTTGAGTGAAGTGTTAAAGTTTCTACAAACTCTTCAGTCTGTTAACTTTTAATGATTGTGAATGGTTGTTGAAATAATCTCTTATGTGAAGACAAAGCAATTTTAAGGAAGCTTTAGTAAGCACCAGTTTATTCCTCCTACATTGGAATGTGTTGGTGTTTGAAAACTTTTCATTTTCCTGCCACTTTATTCAAGGTCCTTACAGATGTACTCATCCCTGCAACTATGCAAGAAATGCCAGAAAGGTGAGCAATTACTTGCATAAGATGATGTTGATTGAATAATAAAGGTGGACATTCTGATAACTGATATGGAAGGTGGGGGAGGAATTCCCCTTTTTAAAAAACGTTGATCTTTTGACACCTAATGACATGAATTATTGTAGTTGAACAGGGAGCAGCTTGATGGACAGCAGTGTTTCACTTGCTAATTTCAGTTGCATTTATTTCTTCTCATCCAGCAAGGGCAATCAAATTCTCTATGTACGAAAGGGCAGTATGTGAGTGGTTCCTTATGCTGAATCTCCTCCATCAGCAGACAGGGCTGTACACAAGTTCCCCCTTGCTAGTTTTGGACTGTACATATACCACAAAACAAAGAGTTAGTTAGCACTTTCAGCTTTGCCAATGCTGATTGCTAGCTAAGGAAAAATTCATTCAGCCTTCCCTTCCTAGACAGCTGTCTCAGTGTTCATTAACTATACAGTGATATGCAGTATTAATATTTTTTTTTAATGGTGTCTGTTGGATATATTTGTTTAGGCTGAATTGTATTGTATTGTATTGTTTCATTCCCTGTTTAATGCAGTATCAAATATGGTTGAAGGCTTAATATATTTTGATTGGATAGGATTGCAGTGGCAAATGTTGATTTAGCTAAAGCCAGAACCCACTGCACATTGCTTCTTTGCCATGTCAAGCAATAGCAGTTGGGCTGCTGGGACAGTAGATTTGGCCCATCTTGTTATGCTGGTGCAGAATAACACCATGTGACACTTGTCATTGCTTCCCAAGGTGTTGCTAGTCTTGTGCATTTATTTGCAAATGCAATGGGTCCTGAGTTTTGGCCACGTGGCTTTTGAGACTTCAAACAACTAGTCTGGCTTGTGTTGGTTTATCAAGTATGCAGCTTAGATTGTCCAACATTTTTGTTCAGCTGTTCCTGATTATGACAAAAATCAATACAGAATTTGATTCCAATCTACTATTTTCCTTTTCATTAGTTTGTTGGCTGATATAAGAAATTTTGCTAAAAACTGGGAACACTGGATTGTTTCATCACTAGAAAATCTACCAGAAGACCTTGCAACAAAGAAATTACCCATAGCACGAAGATTTGTATCTTCACTGAAGCGCCAAACCTCCTTTCTGCACTTAGCTCAGGTAAATGTAGAATAACGGTCATAGCATTGCATGTATGATGAAGAGAGTGACTTGAAAGTTTTGACAGGAGACATTGGTTTTTGCCACTGGTGCTCTAGTTGTCTCAGCAATTGTTTCATTGCCCTCAGCCCTGGGGAAAACCATGGGGCCACCTGGGCTCCATCTAGGCTCCATCCGAGAGGGAACTTTGGAGCCAGACAGTCAATGCCCCTGGTTAACTCCACATTCCAGTGGGCTACCAGGGAATCAGCAGAGGCCATCCATGTGGGATAATATATCCCCTACCACTCTCTGCAAACCATTTGGATCCATTGAGTGGTGGTGATGGACCATTGTGAGAAGTGAAGTTACAGGGAACCAGGCAGAGGGCCTTCTCGGTAATCGTGCCCACCCTGTGAAACACCATCCCATCAGATGTCAAAAAGATAAATAATTATACGACCTTCCATTGAAATCTGAAAGCATCCCTGTATTCAGATGTTTTTTATGTGTAGTGTTCTGTTTAATGTGTTATGAGGCATGCAGGCATCAGAGGTTGGCCAACCTGCAACGCATTATATATTTGTGCTTGGATTCTATACAAAGCTTGAGGTGGCTATCTGTAGGTTAAGAGAGAACTGCTCCTCTCCATGCATTTGGTGAATGTGCAATAATGGCAACTGACCATTTTCACTAACACATTGTTATTTACCAACCCACCTACCTCTCTCAGGGCTGTAGATTCACAAGCAAGCGCTGGTGAGAACAGTTGCTGCCACTGATCAAGTGCTTTCAGGCAGCCCAGACCTGCTCTGTGTTTTCTGATGGTGCAGCTTAACCCCCAGCTAATTTCGTTGCATCTGAAACTGAGCAGACACCAGTTATAAGAACTGTGCTTGCTATTTCAGTGTTCATTCCATTTTTTTTTCTATGTCAGAAAACATTAAGGGGGCCAAAAATAATAATACTGGTTCTGTATGGTCTTCTGAACATAAACATAAAGAGAAACAGTAGCGCCATCTCCCCACCCATCTCCATTAGCATTTTCAGCATAGTTTTTTCCCCTGTTGCCTATTCACAGATTGCTCGACCAGCTCTTTTTGATCAACATATAGTGAACGCCATGGTTGCTGATATTGAGAAAGTAGATCTGCACAGCATTGGATCTCAGGCATTGCTCACAGTCTCAGGAAGCATGGTTTCTGAGGGAGAGGGCTACGTTGAATGTAAGTTGCTGGTCAAGGGAGGAATCATTGCTGTTCCCCACTCCCAGGGAATTTCTTTTAAAATATGTTACATTAAAAATCACATTTTCTGTCCTGTAACAATCGTTTCACCACTTAAGAGATTTTTGAAATCTTAAGTGGTATAGAAATGTTTTAAAGAAAGAAAGAAATACTAATAATGATGTTAATAATGTCCAAGAGAAGTCAGAAGAAAAATCAAATGATTCCCAGGCAATATAGGTTTAATTTTGCTTTATCCAACAGCTTAAGTCTAAGGTGATTTGTGTCTCATGTGTGAAAATAGGCCTTAACCTGTAGGTGTTTACTACAGGCGCCTGAAGCTGCATGGAAGCAAGAGCTTCTCAGTTCACTTAAATGTTGGGAGAAGCTCTTTCTCATTCCATGCACATGGTGGCCACTGATATTGAAGAACCTGGTTTGAGAATGTGATAGAGGCAGCTGATTGTATACAGCTGAAAATATTATTTGGAAAAAATCAGCTTCACTCTACTCCTGAACCATCACTTTTGATATTTCAGACTTTTGCTGAAATCGTTACAGGATCATTGGCATCCTGATTTTATCCCTGGTGATTGCTTGTTATGATGACCTGGCTAATTTTTCCTTTTGTCTGACTACACTCTGTGATCTTTGTGTGGTCGTTAAAAGTATTTCACTAAGGAATAATAAGTTTCAGAGTTAATTAACTGATTTTTATTTCCTTTTTTAAAGTATAAGACACGTTTACATTTCAGTGCCATTTCTTTTCCTCTTCTTTTTTTACTCCATTCTTCTGTTCTGCTTGCATAGCTTTATCATTGCTGTGAGACAGGAAAAGACTGGTTAATCCACAGGAGAAAAATTCCGCAGGGTGCTCTAAATCAAGAGGAGTGGCCTAACCATTTTTGGCCTGAAGGTCACATTGACATGTTACAAACCCTCTGGAGACCACATGCCAAAGTGGCAAGGCATTAAAGGCTACTTAGTCAGGGTAGCTAGTACAGTGGTGCCTCGCAAGACGAAATTAATTAGTTCCACGAGTTTTGTCGTCTTGCGATTTTTTTCGTCTTGCGAAGCACGGTGTCGGAAAAGTTTTGGAAAAGCTTCAAAAATCACCAAAGTCTTCAAAAACCTCAAAAAAGGCTACCACACCGCGTGCTATGAGTTGCTCCTCGAAGTCAAGTCGCAACTGTATTAACGGTGTTAAGAAAAAGGAAACAAACTTGCAAGACGTTTGTCCATAGGGAAAATCGTCTTGCGAAGCAGCTCAAAAAACAAAAAACCCTTTCGTCTAGCGAGTTTTCCGTCTTGCGAGGCATTCGTCTTGCGAGGTACCACTGTATAGGACTGGGTACAACTAAACCATCAAGAGTTTATGGTATTTTATTCCTGTGTTCCTCAAAATTGCTATAAGGGTGTATTCCAAGCAACAGCTAAAACTACTGGGTTGCATCCAGCTAAGACATACTCAAAATAGGCCCATTGAATTCAGTGGACTTTATTTTGATGAACTCAAGATGCTGTCTTCTCATTTCACCTCTGCAGCTCTAATTCTTCCTTTTCCTTTCCTTTACATGCTCCAAAACTATCAATGACTGGTGAGTGGCTTTCTCTCCTGTTCAGAGTAGAATGCAACTACATGTTTTCCTTTTTACATGGTAGATGACTCTATTACAGTGTTCCAAGAACTGAAGGACCTTTTAAAGAAGAATGCCACTGTGGAGTCCTTTATTGAATGGCTGGATACTGTGGTTGAGCAAAGGGTTATCAAGGTAAGCCCCAACTGAAATCAAATTGTTCCTGATAAAGTCTATTCCCCTTGTGAACAGCATTCTTCCCTCTCATGGTGCCCAACTGGCACCTTCCCTTCCTGGGAGTGGGGATACAATGGGAAACTGTGGTTTAACCAGTGCTTTTTTCTGGGGGGATGCAGGGGTACATACCCCTAAACATTTTGTGTTGCCCTGACCAACCGACCAACCGACGGACCAACATGCCAGCTGTCTCCTCAGTAGCTGCGCAGACTGGAGCTCCGTCATCCTCCCCACCACTGCCCAGGGAGGGGAGTCTGGGGCGGCTGCAATGGAGGCAATGGCGCTCCTCCTCCTCTTGCTGGGCTAGAGCCAGCCAGCGAGCACTTGCCCCTCCTCGCTCAAGCCGACCCTGCCGTTGCCGGGGGCCTTCCTGTCCTCTCAGCACTGCTGCTGCCACCTTGATTCCCTCATCCAGGGGTTGGGGGGAGGAAGGGGAGAGGAGATGGGGAGCAGCCAAAATGAGAGTACCCCTAAACATTTTTTGGGGGGGGAGCCCTGGGTTTAACAAACCAGAAAGCAATGCATTAAGACACACTGGATGAGGGCGCACAAGGTAACAGTTTGTTGGACTAGGACTATTACATCTGAACTGAATCCAATGTATTGTTAGGCTTCAACTTGATAGAAATAAGTCAGGCATACGTCAGAGATATTGCAGGTTTGGTTCCAGGCCAAATATTTCAATAAAGCAAGTCACCCAATTCTTTGTGTATGTCCCAGTACATATAAATTTTATGTCTGCACTATACTGTAGTCTATTAAGCCAGGCCTCCCTGCCTGCAGGGGCAGGAGGGGGGAACCCAGCTTCAGCCCTAACCACCTCAGGCCCTATGGTCAGAGGGGGGCAACAGCAGCAGGGGGGTGGGCTGACTGCAGTTGCACCAGCATCCTCAGAAGAGTCAATGAGGTACGCCTGTACTTTGTGAGAAGACCTTAAGGTCTCAGAATCCATACACTATCACTATACAATTCAAATGATCATTAAGCCCTCTGATTCAAGAACGAATTGAAATATTGCAGAGTAGAATGGCATTCTCAGCTCTGTTTAGCTAATCTTTAGATAATCACTGTTAAACAGAGGAAGCAAGGGAGGGGTGGAATTGTCCACCATTCAGCATCTGTTGCAGAACATTGTTCTAGGGCAAACAGGTATAGTTTCCAGTGTTTTCCTCCCACGTCTGGAAAAAAATGCTGAACAATTTACTGTATGAATCAAGATTAGCTGAGTAAGAGGTAATGATTTACAGAACACGTAATCCTTCCATTGCCCTCTACCTTCTGTTCAGTCAAAAGTGCAGGGCCTCTCTCCGTCACACCAAATGGCTTCCTTTTGTTTGCTGATTGAAAAAGGGGCAGCTCGTCATGTTACCACAAGCTGCTGCTGGGTCCTGGCAAGGGAGGCAGTGTCAGAGCATCTTTCAACGCCTGGACACAGAAAGGACTGACAGATTGATAGCACAATTTCTTGCAGGGATATTGTTGGGTGTTGCTGGGCAGGGGTTGTTGCTGTGAGTTTTTTGTATCTTTATTTTAGATTTTGTTGTGATTTATTTGGGTTGGTTTTGTATTTTTAAATGTTTTGTTTATTGTTTATGGCTGCTCTTGCTATGTCGCAGTTGCATATTTTTTCATGTTGTAAGCCACCTTGAGCTTGGTTTGAACTGTGGAAAGGTAGCATACAAACAAAAGTATGTATGTATATATGCATGCATGCATGCATGCATGACAAGAGACAGAAGCAGGCCCTGATATCCATTAAGTGTCTCTGCAGGCACATCGGTGATGCTGCAACCATTATTTAGAATGGAGTGTAAAAGTGCTTAGGCTGTTGCAGCCTTAATGATGCAGTGGGGTTTACACAGAAGCAAATCCCTCTGTGCTCAGGGGGATAAACGCGTGTAAGACTACAGCCTTGAAGGTCCTTAGTTTGGGGCCTGGATTGTGCTCTCCACTTCTTAGAAAACATTGTTTTCTCTCAACATCAAGTGAATACATTCTTGATTGATGTTCACCTTGCAGCAGTAGGTTACAAAATTATGGTCTATATGAGGCACAGCCACCATGGTACCCTCCAGATGTTTTGAATGATATCTCCCATAATCCTTGACCATAGGCTCCTTAATGGTTGGGACTGATGGGAGTTGGAGTCCAACAACATCCAGAGTGCAACCATGTTGTCACCCCCTGGTCTATACTAACGATAACTGGTTTTTGATAAAGCCAGTTGTCAACACACAGTCTTTAAGCATGTTCACTACAAGCAAGATGCATGGGCATTGGTCTCCAGTACTGTACTGCACAGCAGGATGGGTATGTTATAGTTTCTACTATATGTGGATTTGGTTTTCATTTCTTTTCTCTCCCCACCACCACCTCCCTGCCATTTTGTTTAGGCAAGTAAGCAGAATGGTCGATCCCTAAAGAAGAGGGCACAAGACTTTCTTCTCAAATGGAGCTTTTTTGGAGCTCGAGTAATGCACACTCTCACTTTGAACAACGCATCAAGTTTTGGTATTTGATTTTATTCAAATTCTTTGTTTTCCTATTTAAGTTATGGCAAGGTGTAACCAGGGGCCCCACCAAATTAAATGAGGTGGGACGTCCATTTAGGTGGTCTCAAAGTCACACAGATGAGCCTATTTTCCCAGAAGCTAAGCAGAAGTCCTCTCGAATCCAGACATATAGAGATTAGTTGTGATTACTCAGTGGTGAGAAGTATTTTCTACATATGGTCAGTGGTTCTTACATTACTTTTCTAGGACTGAGCCATGGCATTAAAAATAAATTGTAATGTTAGGCTCTGGTAGGCCCTGGCTCCAACCAAACTTTTGTCTTTATCTGTGTGGTTTATATAACTGCTTCTTTTAATTTTAGAGAAAAAAGTGATTTTGTTGTTGAGATGCTGAGTGATTTTCTTTTACCTCCATGTAACTAGAAGCAAGTTTTTCTTGATGTTTTTGTTGGTGTACTTATGTTATTGCTTTTTGGCAATGGGTTTGTATTTATACCATTAAAAGGCATAGATGCCACGATTCATGCCATGTTTAATTTCTACATGAAAGGTGATGGGACTAAGCTTTGTCTGGAACTTGCGCTCACAACCTCTCATACGGAAGTCCCTCCCTATCTACATATGTGTACATAGGATTTGTCTTAGACTGAGTCAGACTATTGGTTCATATAGCTGAGTATTGTCTACAATGACAGCCAGTGGCTTTCCAGGGGTTTAGGCAAGAGGATTTTCCAACCCTGCCTGGAGAAACCTGTCACCTTTTGTATGCAAACCATATACTGTGTTTTTAATATGTCCAGTCAATCAATCAATCATTTTATTTGTATGCCACCTTTCCAAAGTTAAAACCATGCTCAAGGTGGCTTACAACATATCCAAAAAATAACTACATAGCAAAAGTAGTCATAAATAATAAACAAAACATCAAATGTTACACAACCCAATTGAATAATTTCCACATAAATATTTGATACAAAATAAAGATACAAAGAATTATCAACAGCAACAAGCCCCTGTGAACAGTCATAAGAAACACCCTGCAGCCTCAGCTTTTGTAGCTGGAGTCAGTCAGAGCCCCACCCTCCCAGTCCAGGTGGGGAGCAGGTCTTCCAGGACTCACAACCAAGATGCGCCTCAGTCATTCCCTATATACCTAAGTGTATAGAGAAGAGGTGATTTCACCTCAGAGAGCATTTTATTCTCTACATGTTCACAGGCACTTTTTCCTTTATAATTCTTATACAAACCCTGGAGTTAGGGATGGAGAAACTCGATTCATTTACCCTTCAAAATTCAAACTTACCTGAATGTTGTGATGCAATTCTGCATCAAACCAGCATTTACAAACAAAAATGCATATGTTTGGGTGCATAAATGCATGTAATGTATGCACCAAAAGGAATATATTAGTGAAAAGAATACAAAAAATACAAAAATAAATCATGTTAGGGGAAATTGCTTGTATGTTAGTAAAAACTGTGAATAAACGTGTTTATAAGAAGAAATTGCTGATGAATTTTTCATACTTTTAAACTGAAAAATGCTCCAAAATTGGAGAACTGAATTTAAGATTGGAGAAATGAGAAACGGAGAGAACCAATCTTGATAGATCCTTCAATCCCTACCAGGAATAAATGATTGTTTTTGTTTTTTTAATGACAGCTCTATCATCTCAAAGAGCCCCTAGCCACTGCTGGGAATTATCTTTAAAGTGTTGTTAAGTCAAGATTTCATGACAATGTGCTCATTTTCTTACTCTTATTCTACAGAGGTCTGCTAGCAAGACTCTGCCAACTACTTTCTTGTTGTTTAGTATAAGGGAAACTGAAATATAGCAAACACGGACTCTTGTCTACAGAGTTCAGCTTTATCTTACTCTAATGTATGCCCTCTTCAAATATAAAGCATATCTCACTTTCATCAGTGTTGTACTTTGATGTCATTAGTGGCCAAATAACCTACAGGACAGTCAACATATTGAGCTTGGGGGGCAGTGCAGAGCAAGATTAGAGTGAGAAGTTAAGCACTGCTTCTTGTTGGTCTTAGCAGGTCATTGAAAGTCCAACAATTATTTGTTTGTTTCATTTGCTTCTTGTAGAGTGTTGAGAGATGGTCACCAAGATAACTTTATGACATACACTCTCTCTCTCCTCTTTTCTCCCCCTGCAAAGGTTCATTTCATTTGGTCCGCATGCTTTTAGACGAATACATCTTGCTTGCCATGGAGACCCAGTTTAACAACGACAAAGAACAAGAACTCCAGAATCTGTTGGACAAGTATATGAAGAATCTGGGTAACTAGGATTGGTCGTTTATAACCCTGAGAGTTCTGAAGCTTTGATGATGTTCACACTTGTTTGTGGTTAGGCAATGGTAGCCAAGCTGATTGGTTGTTTTGACATATTTAAACAATTATTCTTCCATACCTAATATTGGCAGGGTGATCTGTTTATTTAAGTTTCTCTTGGGATGGATGATAGATTAAGGCTGCAGTCTTAAACACACTTATTGGGGCATAAGTCTCACTGAACTCAGTGTCCACACACGTTTCTGAGCAGGCATGCATAGGACTGTGCTGTTATAAAACTAAACTAAAATTAAAACAGATTGCTCCCCGCTTGTTCCTATTAATTCACCTTCAGTCACAAAATGCCAACCCTAAAAAGGTCTTACAAAATGTCATGTTGGTGCTTGAGCTAAGGCTTTGGGAGGAATTCCAAGTTGCAGAGGCTGATTCTGAAAACAACTTTTGGAGATGGCAGAGGGATGATGAATCAAGAAAGGTAACCTTCAAGAAAATCCTAGCTGGTCATAGAGAAGAAGGCTGTCTCTTGGATATATTGAGCCTTTAAATAATACCCTGAGGAGAATAGGTACCCATTGTAAACCCTGAAAAAGTACTATATGATATGTAAAAGAGTACTTAAAAAAATATTCAGGTACCAAGCAATATGGTTCTTTTTAAACATACCTAACCAGTTTATATTGTCCAACAACTCTGTTCCTATTACGTTTGATTACTGTGCACAATCCTCTCTGGTTCACCGCTAGCTGTATAGCTCAGTCGGTAGAGCATGTGACTCATCGTCTCAGGGTTGTGGGTTCAAGTCCCACACTGGGCAAAATATTCCTGCATTGCAGGGGGTTGGACTAGATGATCCTAGTGGTCCCTTCCAGCTCTACAATTCTATGATTCTCTGGTGATATGCCTGAGTCCCAAAGACACAGGGTTGCTCATGCGTCTCCTCCTCAAGGGAAAACCTCGCTTAACACTGCCCACCGTACACTTCAAGTGTGTGGTCTTTCACAGCAGATATTTAAGAAGTGTTCCTGAATGATCGACCCATTCTTACATTTTCATAATTCATCTAAATATATAGCAGTATACACACACAGCAGTGCATACTCTTACTTCACACTTTATGAATCCCGTCTTATTTTTCCAGATGCCAGTAAAGCTGCTTTTACTGCATCCCCAAGCTCTTGCTTCCTAGCGAACCGCAGCAAGGCTGGTACACTTTCCAGTGATGCTTCAGTGAAAAATGAATGCCTAGTGGAGCAAGCCTATTTTCCTCTGCCAACCAATCAGCACAACAGCATGTCCTCTGGTCTGAATCCTTTCTCCATGGGGAACCCTGAAAATATGCAGCTAACAGGTAGGAAACAAATCCCCACCACCCACCCTTTATCCTTTCCTCATATTTTCCCTGTGTAGTAGTGGGCAGTGCTATGGAAAGGAGCTGTATACCATGCAAACCATTCCTCTACTCTACTGTTTGTTTTTCCAGGTCAAACAGAGCTCTCTCAAAGCACAGGTCATCTCATGACTCCGCCCATATCTCCAGCCATGGTTGGCCGAGGAAGTGTCATCAACCAGGGACCGATGGCAGGCAGGCCTCCTAGTGTAGGTCCACCGCTGTCATCTCACTCCCACTGTGCATCTTATCCGGAGCCGCTGTACCAGACTGTGCCACAAACCAACCAAAACTTTTATGGAGTCAGTGCTGGTTACCCAGTCATGTTCAGGACCCAGACTCACCCATCTTCTGCACCCTATCAGCACAGGGCAGAGGCCAGCCATTTTGCAGCCAGCAATGAGCAGCAGCGCTTCTCCAGAGACTACTTCAGCAGCAGCTGCGCTGTATCTCCATACAGCACGAGGTCACCCCCTAACTATGGGTCCTCTTCGACAGTACAGGAGGCACACAGCATGCAATTTCTGAACAGCGGGAGCTACAACTTCATGAACAGTCCAGCAGCTAGCTCTGGTCAAGGATCGTCATATTCCTCAAATGCTTCCAATGGTACTAAAATGTTCAGATTTTTAAAATTATTGATTTCCATTGATCTGTACTTCTTCCCTAGTGCTCCAAAATTTATGTATATTCTCTCTAATACAACTTCTGGAAGCTATAGGCATTTGGGGACACATTCTTAACCTGACCTCCCTGCTGGTGGGTCTTAGTGGAGTGGTGGGGCCACCATGGCATCTGCAACCCTGCTGCTTATGGAAGCAAGACGATTGGACCTAACACAGTTGTACATCAGCAGTGAGCTCAGGGTGCAGTGGATCCTGGGCCAGCTGAGCACCATCTTTTCTCTGCCCCTGGGACCCATTTTTGGGTTGTCCTCTGGGTCCTGGTGGCAATGAGTCTTCCAGTAGACCTTCCACTTGCCCATTTGCTGGGTGGAAGAGGGAGAGCAGTGCTGACAAGAGGCCATCTTAGCCCACAGAGCTCAGTGGAGGGACACTTCTGCTCAGTCCAAGCCAGCCTGGCATAAAGGGTGGTTTGGATTGCTTTGTTAGTCTCTGGCAGCATAAACAGCAGTGAGTCTTGTGGCATCTTCCAGGCTTGTATTGTAAAGTATGTTTTTGAGGACAAGAATTCTCTTTCATGGTTCTCTGCTCAAAACAAAACAGAAATGAATAAAAGGTCCCTGATTTCTATTTAGCAGGAGCTCATAGGATAGGTTTCTAGATAATACCACTGTCTGCTGCTGAGTAAGAATTTAAGAAGAGCCCAACTGGATCAGGGCAAAAGTCCATATATAGTTGAACATCCTGTTTCTCAAAGCCAACCAAAAGCCTCCTCCAGGAAGCCAACATGCAGGACATAAAATCAATCACCTTCTTCCATTGTTGTTCCCAAGCAGTTGGGACTGTGAGGCATGCTGCCTCTGCCTTTGAGCCCCCAGCATGGTGTAGGGGGACCAGGTGGTAATACTGGACAGCATCGTGAGATGATGGAGAAAGCAAACATTCAGCTGCTTGGAGGCTAGCATAACTGAGTACAGCTCTCTGATCTTATGCCCATTTGTCATCTTATGGTAGCTTCTCAACAGCCACACACCTTCAAGATGTCAATTTGAAATAATTAACTATGCCCAATTTTTTTGACCAAACTGTGGGAGGACAGAAGTGCCTGGCGTGCTCTGGTCCATGGGGTCACGAAGAGTCAGACACGACTAAACAACTAAACAACAACAAAATGCCCAATTTATTCTCTGCCACCATTGGTCACCCTCTGGTAAGGGTAACAGGTCTCCCACCCACCCCACTCCCATTCAGACGCTGGTATCCTCCAGCAAATCATCTCACTAGCCATTGCTGCTCCAGTATTTAGAAGTTACTGGCACACAGGTTTCCCTGGTTAAAACTGCTGCAAATCACAGAGATGCTACTTCACACAAGCAGCTACCAGATGGAGGGGTGATGATGTTTAGTTTCTGCAGCTTGTCCATCTTTTTGTCTTTCTTGTATCCATAACTATATCTCCATATCCATATCTGTGCACATTCACTGTAGACATGGAACTTTAATTTTATTTGGGTGCTATAAGGCAGAATTCTAGATGATCTAATGCTCATATAACAGTTGTCTATTAAACCTAATGTACACTTATTGTCTGTCAACAGGGTTCTATGGGAATAATATAAATTACCCGGAATCCCATCGGCTCGGGTCAATGGTGGATCAGCATGTTTCAGTCATCAGCAGCATCAGCAGCATTCGACCATTGCCTCCATACAGTGACATTCACGATCCACTTAGCATCTTAGAGGATGCTGGAAGGAAACAGGGAGCATCATATTTTGCAGATGCCTCGATAGCCTGTCAGAACCCGCTAAGTAAGTAGGTCTGATGGCAGAACAAGAACTCTAAATCTTCTCATGTTTTGGACTGGGCCAACAACTGGATGGGAAGAAGAATAGTGCTGACTGGCCATGCACATTAACCAAAAGTGAGAACAGGTTCTGTGCATGCACAGCTGTATGCACATAGGACTTGTAGTACTTGGAATGGTGGAGCCCACTTGCACTGGCAAAGCCTGCGCACATACAACAGTATATGAGTTGGGTCTGTTCTCACTTTTGGCCAAATGCCAAAGTTGAGGTGTAATGCCAGCAGACAAGTAGAGGTCAAGAATGGAGTCAGTCAGCACAAACTTACTTTGTCTCCATGCATTTGCTTCATGCATGGGCTTGTATCCAGTGCAACTCTAAGTAAGCATATCATCAGTGCAAGAGTTCTCACTTGGGCAATGGGACTTCCCATCTCCCCCACATACACTTCCTACTCCCTCCCCAAATCTGCACCTAAATGTCGGGAAAACTCCAAAACTCTAGAAGCGATTGGGGAGAGTCCCATTGTAGAAGAACCTTCGCACTGACTGGATGCCTTCTTAGTGCTGCACTGGATACAAGCCTTAGATCCAAGCATGAAAAATGGGTTTACGTTTTAACTTACATGGGAATCTCAGCTGCAAAACCTGCAGCCAGTGCCAGACCCCAGCTTTAGAATGGAGGCATTGTACATTTCCTCCACCACCTCCATGTATCTCAGACATAAGACTTTCAGCTCAGTGGGTGTAATGTCTAGGAAGGCTGAATTGCTGTCATTCATCTCTTTAGAAATTAATCACAACTAAGGGACGCGGGTGGCGCTGTGGGTAAAACCTCAGCGCCTAGGACTTGCTGATCGTCAGGTCGGCGGTTCGAATCCCCGTGGCGGGGTGCGCTCCCGCTGCTCGGTCCCAGCACCTGCTAACCTAGCAATTCGAAAGCACCCCGGGTGCAAGTAGATAAATAGGGACCGCTTACTAGCGGGAAGGTAAACGGCGTTCCGTGTGCTGCGCTGGCTCGCCAGATGCAGCTTGTCACGCTGACCACGTGACCCGGAAGTGTCTGCGGACAGCACTGGCTCCCGGCCTATAGCGTGAGATGAGCGCACAACCCTAGAGTCTGTCAAGACTGGCCCGTACGGGCAGGGGTACCTTTACCTAATGAATGATTGATTCCCCCTTCTCCCAAGCTCTAAGTATGGCCCATTACATATGTGATTTGGAAAGCTATGGTAGGAGGGTGGTTCCTCTGCATCACACCCACTCCCACTTTTCTGTTCAAAGATGTCCTCTGGGGCTCCCCTTTGGAAATGCTGGACATTTTCTCACGAACATTCTTCAGAAATGTTGTTATGGTTGGAAATGTCTTTTTAATAAAAGCTGGGGTTCAGAGGAACCCAACAGGGCCTCATGACCATCACACACACCCAAGAGTGTTAACTCCCTGTTCCTTACTTAATCTATGTTTGCAGGCAGGAAGAATGAAGAAGGCTTAATTTATGCCAGAACTGTTCATAGTGCCAGGGCTGCACCTTGAAAGTAAAAGATGAAAGTGCTCCCGAACTTACGCACATTGTATTTCTTGCTCTACTAAGTAGAGCAAGTCCTCCTATAGCAGGGTGGAACTTGCAGATCAGAGGGTGCTATTTACAAGCAAACTAAAGCCATGGCCTGTGTCTCCTTTCCCCCCCTAGGAATTAAGCACTGGAAGTAGTAACTGTTGCCATTTTCTTTGTAGCTTCAGATCTGCAGCCTGCTATATCTGCATCCTCCTCCCAATGTATGTATGGACATTCTAGACAATGCCCTTCGCAGGAAGCAATGGATTCTTCTGGGCAAGGTAATAGTGAGATGGTCTCCACCTTGCCACCAATCAATACTGTTTTCATGGGAACTGCTGCTGGAGGCACCTGACTTCCAGAAGTGGCTGCACCCAGTCTTCAGTCCCAGGACTTGATGGCGAATAGGAATGAAAAAGTATTACACATAATGTTTTAAGACTACCAAGAAGATTTTACAATGCACTGAAAAAGCAACTACAGCTGGTTGCAGAGTCCATCCTGTCTCAAGTGTCTCTGGTCTTAAACACAGGAAAAGAGATTGTCCATTGCATTTCCTCTCCTTGTCACAATTATAACCAATATTCTTGCTTTTTTCCGTGTAATCAGGATGCTGTTCTTTCTTGGTGATCACTTTGCTGCCCCTTGATGCATGGTGTACCATATGCACCACCTCGTGGTTACAACAGTGTGCAGGTTCACACCTGACAATGGGTTGGCTAGTCTGGATTTAACAGCTTTGCTGCACCATTATCATGTTCTAGATCATCTAACAGCAACACCCCTAAATCACAGAGTTCTGGTGTTGCTCTGAGGCAGCAGTTGCTGCTCTCCAACCTATAAAGAAGGCATAATCAGAGTGAACTCTCTTGTTCAACTTAAATGTCCTAGTTACCATCCTTTCTCTAATTAATTTTGTACAGGCACTGGATATGTGCCAATATGCACTTGGTTCACTACTGTATTACACCAAGTGCTTTGTACTCCATATTTGCTGCATGCATAGTGAAGTGTAGCTTTATTTTACACCTGCTAGCTTTTGTGCACCGGCCCTAGATATCTTTAGTATGTACATACTGCTCACAGTTGGCATCCAGCAACTGAACTGGAAAGAGGTCAGGTGAGCAGCACAACCCCACCACTCTGCTCGCTACTGGCTCCAGGTAGGCCTGGATACAACTCCTGCCTTGAAGAACAATTGCCAGTCAGCACAGAGTAGAAGATTCTGAGCTAGATGGATCAATGGTCTGATGCAGCAGAAGGCAGCTTCCTATGTTCCCACACCACAAAGTCCATGAAGCAGTGTGACTGTGACAGTGGTGCACTTACGTGAAACATCTGGTGCCTGAGTAATGTGACAGCAGCCATGAACTATAGTGCTTGCCTATGTAACATCCCATGTGTACATGAACACACCTACCATATGAGTAAGCCTTTCAATATATAAAATCAGAATGCCAGTCCATGATCCATGTGAGCTGGTGAAATTTTCACAGTATTTCTCCACAAAGCACTGAAATATTTGCTTGTTTTTTGTTGCTAAAGTCCCAGAATGTTTGTCTTTCTGCTCTGCTTTGTTGTGCCATGTCTTCAAAGCAAGAAAAACCAGCGATAATTTCCAATGAATTGTGGGGGGAAACAATCCTCTGCCTCATTATTCCTCTAATTTATATTTAAAAAGCAGTTGTCCTGTATACATACATTTTGTTTATTTTGTAAAAGCAAAGAAACATTATTTAACACATGTTATTTACCTTTATTTATTGGAGTTGCAGAGTTCTTTGCAAGTTGCAATTCTGTTTGGCAGATTGTCAAATGTATGTGTTCTACCTCCTATGGAAATGTTTACAGGGTCATTTTTTATGATGGGGTGGAGAACCTGTAGTCATCCAGATGTTGTGGGACTCCACTTCCCATCAGCCACAGACAACACAGAGCAGTGGCTGGGGATTATGGGAGTTGTAGTCCAATAACATCTGCAGAGCCACAAGTTCATCATTTCATTTTATTGCTTCAAACCTATCTGGACCAAAATTGCGTTTTTCTAATCTTGTGGATTAAAGGGTTTATTTCAAATGCTATCAAGTGGCAGCCTCATTTGTTATTTTGTTGTTCTCTGATTGGTTCAGACCTAACTCTTTTCCAACCTGATACCCACTAGGTGTTTTGGATCATAAGTTGTACTTCAGAACTTGTGGAGGGCACCAGAACAGGGCAGGCTGTTTAAGCATATATTTCACATGGAAAAATTATCTTTAGCCATCATTTTTCATGCTCAGCATTTCTTCTGAATCCCTCATGATACAATTGGATCCACCATGTGTTAAATTGTCTCTCAGTTCCAGTGACTGATAAATCTCAGAGCTCCTTCATAACTGAAAACATTCCTCACTTCTGAATCTTTCAGCCGCACTACCACATGCAGCATGAAAGGAAGGGTATCTAGGGTTTGTCCAAACCAAGCATTCTACATGTGTTCCTTTGGGCCCCTTTGACCTTAGTCACCTTAGACACCCTATCATCCTTAGCTAGCGGGAATTGTGGGAGTCCAGCAACAGCTGGGGACCCAAGTTTGAGAAACACTGTTAGAGTCTAAAATCCTGACTGCATTTTTTGGAACACATTGAACCATGCCTAAGTCACCTTGCCAATATTTTTATAGCCTTACATGGTATCACCATAGTTTATGGTTGTGATGTGTATATACCTCTCTACTGAGTACATTTCTGAGCACAATTCAAAGTGTTGGTGCTGACCTTTAAAGCCCTAAATGGCCTCGGCCCTGTATACCTGAAGAAGTGTCTCCGCCCGCATCATTCAGCCTGGACACTGATGTCCAGCTCTGAGGGCCTTCTGGTGGTTCCCTCACTGCAAGAATTGAGGTTACAGGGAACCAGGCAGAGGGCCTTCTCAGTAGTGGCACTCACCCCGTGGAATGCCCTCCCATCAGATGTCAAGGAAATAAACAACTATCTGACTTTTAGAAGACATCTGAAGGCAGCCCTGTTTAGGGAAGTTTTTAATGTTTGATGTTTTAATGTATTTTTAATCTTTTGTTGGAAGCCACCCAGAGTGGCTGGAGAAACCCAGCCAGATGAGCGGGGTACAAATAATAAATTATTATTATTATTATTATTATTATTATTATTATTACCCTGAAAAGAAACAGCAGCATCCTGCTGGCATCTGCCTATCTCTGGCATTAGAATAGAAAGGCAAGCTCCTTACCTGCTTGATGGCCTGCAGTGCATGTGATCAGAGGATGAATTGTTGACTGCCACATCCTCAGATGTTCTGACACACAGCACCACATCTGTTTTATCCATAGTGTAAGGCTGCAAAGATAGATCACCCTAGCTCCGCAAACATTAAATTTAGAATCCCCTTTAAAAGGCTTTAAATTAAGTCCTGCATCTAGTACATATTGAACATCATGCTCTGTTCTGTTCTTAACCCATCAGTGTCAACAGAATCTTCTGAGGTTTTATGTACAAGCTAGTGGAGTGTCATCATCATGATAAGGGTGTGTGTGTGTGTGTGTGTGTGTGTGTGTGTGTGTTGGAGAGATCTAAGGAGAGAGGGCCTGGAAACACCTGTGTATGTGTGTGTATTTATGTAAGGAATGACTGTGTTGTTCAGATTAATGGGAGGTGAACCATGGGATGGATCTCTGCAGATAAGAGACTGAGTTTGCCAGTGTCACACAAGTCCTATGATGGCCACAAGCTGCCCCAGCTATCATCTCACCATGCCTCTCCAACCTCCAGTCTGAGGCAGATGGCTTATTCTTCCTTTTCTGGCCTCTATAATCCTACCCCATCCCAGTAGGCTTGTTCCAATAATAACAATCTTCCAACAGTATTAAATATTTCTCACACCAGTGGAATAAGTTTGCTAGGATGCGAGGAAGTATTGCAGAGGCCAGGAGATTAAAGCGTTAGCACCTCCATTCATTAGATACTGGGGGAGAATGGTGAGATCAGGGCAGGTCACACTTTCCCAGTACAAAACAAGGAAGCTAGGGAATTGCTTAGGAGAACATGAGATTTTCACAAGCTGCTGGGTACCTTACTTCTAGAATTCAAGTTATTTAGCATCCAAATGCTTTTTAGAATGGTCTTGAGATAGGCACCTGGAAATAGCAGAAAGATTCTAGTAAGCAGTTGAAATAGGAAAATCTACTTCCCTTCCTCTTGGCTTAGTTGATTATTATCCCTGATCAAATAAAAGGCCACATGTTCGGGTTGCCCCATGCCCTGGTTGCTATAGTAAAGGTAGATACACAGTTAAATTCTGCATTTAAAAAGAGATTGATATTGAGAGTCTTTTTGTCTCCTTCATGCGCTGTGGTGGCAAGTTAATAGGAGTATTTCTCCCATTGTATGAGAAGCTTTACTCAGGAGATTTGCTCTACAAAAGGCTCACATCTTTGTCAGCTCATAAGGCAAAGGAGAAAAAAACCCTGTCAAACACACATACAAATATACTTACATGCCGAGCGTCAAACAAACATCAGGCTCTGACAGGAAACTAATATGGAGTCAATTTTCACGCTTGAAACTAAAATGAATAATGTACATTTGCCATTGTACTCCGTGTAATTTTATTGAATTTTTATTATTGCAAGCCATCTTTGGGAATGATGATGATGTTTATAATAAAATGCCACAGAACCATTCCTACCTGATGCTAATAGGTTTCTGCTTATCTTTCATCGTAAGAAAATCTCAGTGATGTTGTAGTAGTGACCAGAATAGTGCAGTGCAAAGAGTGTTGAGTCCAGGATTCACATCTCCACTCAGCCCTGAAGCTCACAAGGTGACCTTGGGCCAGTCACTGTCTGTTAGCCTAACCTACCTCACAGGGCTATTACAAGGATACAGTGGTGCCCCGCAAGACAAATGCCTCGCAAGACGAAAAACTCGCTAGACGAAAGGGTTTTACGTTTTTCGAGCTGCTTCGCAAGACGAATTTCCCTATGGGCTTGCTTCGCAAGACGAAAAAAATTCTGGGTTTGAATTTCTGTGTGGTGGGTGGCTGGGGGAACAGTTGGGGAGGGGTTTGCAAGAATCTGGAAGCTTGTGTGGTTTTGTTCTGCATTTTTATGATTTTCTGTGACCATTGGGCCACTCTGCTGTTTTTTTAAAAAAAATTCTGGGTTTGAATTTTGAAATGCTCTTTACAGTATGTGTGACTTTAAAGAGCACTTAATAAACTCTTGTTGTACCAAATTTGGCTTTGTTTGGACTTTTTTTGACCATAGGAACGCATTAATTGATTTTCAATGCATTCCTATGGGAAACCGTGCTTCGCAAGACGAAAAATTCGCTAGACGAAAAAACTTGCGGAACGAATTAATTTCGTCTTGTGAGGCACCACTGTAAATTGAGGAGGGGGAGAATCGTGGACTCCTTCTTGAGCTCCATGAAAGAAAGAGAGAATATAAATGTAACAATAAATTAATTCATTAAATAAATTACTGCTACCCACCACCACCATTTAATGAATTACTAGTCTGCCTTTTAGAGTGCGTGCCCTCCCAATGTGGGTTACAACAAATTCAGTTAAAATCCCAAGAGTCAAATCTTGCAATATGCAATAAAATCAATTTAAAAAATTTAAAATCCTTAATTCTTAAATATAATAGCTACAGATTTACCTAAATGCAGACTGGAATTTTAGGGTTTTCCAAATGACAACAGAGGCAGGGAGTTTACAAATTCCCCTTGGGGAGGACAGGCCAGATAGATGGGGCCACCACAAACAAAGCGCTGTCCCTGGTACTTAGCAAGCCTGGCCCAGAACATTGATGGCATTCTTAAAGACAAGGAAGGTACATATGAGTGTAGGTGATCATTCAGATAGCCTCATCTCAAACTGCTTAGGGCTTTAAAGGCCAAAGCTAGCACCTTAAATTGGGCTCAGCGGCCAAGAGTCGGCCAGAGCAACTGGCAGAGAATAGGTGTGCTAATAAGTCCTACAAGTGTTCTTGATGCCGCACTCTACTCCTGTTGAAGCTTCTGGGCCATTTTTAAGGACAGTCACATGTACAGAACATTGTCACATGTAGAGAACATTGCAGTGATCCAGGCTGGATATCTCCAAGGCATGTGTCTCTGACACAATGGTCATTTTGTTGAAGTAACTAAATGATGGACATTGATATGGCACATTTCGAGTGTTCAAAGCACTTCTTGTATACAAACTTAGTCACTCTTACAATAGTCCTGTAAAGCCAGCAAGTGTTATTAACTGGCATTACATCTGCGATGGCAGGGAGGGGAACACCACTTGCATTCATCTCTGGTAATAATCAGTACAAAAATGTAGGCACAAAAATCTCCACACATGCTGCTTTTTGCTTCTGTTTTTGGAAGTTTAACTCAGAACAGCTATTTGAATCTTGCTGTTAATCTTCCTCCGCCCGTCAAGGAACCCAGAGTGGCACCTCCGTGGTTTAAGAGGGATTGAACTTTGCCATTCATCTGGGCAGGATTTTAAAGACGGCGTTCTTGGGTTACACTGCTCACCTTTTCCTCAGGTCCCAAAAAACTTTGTTTTTGTCTTTGTCGGCATTCTGCAAAGTGGCTCTGAACATGAAGCAGTCTGGGTAAGATTTAACAGTGATGTGTGTGTGTCCCTCCGTGGGCAATCATGAATGTCTAGGATTTCTACTTTAACACCTGCATTGTCTGCC